GGAACCTTCCCCCTTCTCCCTTCTATGCTCCCATACTCACAGCATGACCCTATCTGCTCCAGGGGAGATGCCGGTCCCATTCAAGGACTGTAATGTACAGCTAACATCATTGTGTGTCCCAGGCACTGTTCGAAATGCTTTACAGGACTGATCTCACTTAATCCTCACCTAAACCCTATGTGCTGGATACCTTTTTTATCCTCATTTTAAAGATGAATAACTCGAGGCTCAGAGAGGTGAAATAACCTGCCCAGGGTGCCACAGGAAGTGGCTAAGCTGGCTTTCAAGCCCTGGTTCAGTGGCTCAGAGCCCATACTCCTCACCAGTCGCCACGGCATCTAAGCTGACAACTAAAGCAAAATGGAGTTGGTCCCTAGACTTTTCAAACATAGTCCCATTTAGAGGACTCACTCTGAGAACTATTGGGTTGAATTTCCCAGATTTAAGAGGAAAAAGAAGGAACTAGAATCATTTGGGGTTTAGTTGTACTGGGTTTTATGATAGAAAAAGGAAGGATGAGTCAAATAAGTAGAACTGGAAAGAAATGATTATCTATATGTGAAAAATAAAATTTGATCTCTACAGCATATAAAAAAAATCAACTTTAGAAGGATCAAGAGCTCTTAAATATAAAAAAAAAAAAAAATTTAAAGCTCTCACATGAGTATGTTTGAGACACTGCAGTAGGAAAAGTTTCCTTAAGGAGCTAAGAAAATTGATAGGTCTGTTCTACTTTCAAAGGAGCTCTGGTGGCATAGTGCCTAAGGCATGTGACTGCTAACCAGAAGGCTGGTGTTTCAAATCCACCAGCCACTCCATGGAAGGAAGATTGGGCAATCTACTTCTGTGAGTTGGAATTGACTCCATGGCAGTGAGTTTGGTTCTACTTTCAATACTTTCCCTCCGTATTGGGATGGGGATCCTTCCTGGGTTGGGCCATCTTCAGAGTTCCCTGGGATCCAGCAATAGCTCTGGATCTGAGGTCAGACAAGGGCATAAGGCCTGACTTTGTGCTGGGGAGGAACTGGCTCTGGTCCAGGCAGGATTAATCATTTCACAGCCCAATATTTCTCCTACCCTTCACAATCTGATGGGAGGACAGGTGTTACCTACCTCCTCTACCAAAACCAAAAAACAAAAACTCACTGCTATTGAGTCAATTTGGATTCACAATGACCCTATAGGACAGTGTAGAACTACCTCATATGGTTTTCAAGGCTGTAAATCCTTATTGAAGCATATTACCTCATCTTTCTCCTGTGGAGTGGCTGATGGGTTTGAATCACCAACCTTTTGGTTACCACCAGAGCTCCTTCCTACTTCCTCTGTTGTTGTTGTTGTTATGTGCTGTTGAGTCGGCCCCGACTCATAGCGACCCCTCCTTGGGTTTCCGAGGCAGTATCACTACGGAAGTAGATTGCCCAACCTTCCTTCTGAGGAGTGGCTGGTGGGTTTGAACCGCCAGCCTTCTGGGTTGCAGTCAAGTGCTTTGGGCACTATGCTACCAGAGCTCCTTCCTATTTCCTTTAGCACCTAAAAAATCCTAAGTCTAAAGCAAGGTTTTCCTGCTGCAACCAGTTGCCTTTTTGTCACTAAATGACTTTCCTAAATGGTCTGAAATAGTTCCTTCCTAAATATTGCCCAGCACACAGTGGCTTTGTAAGAGGGAAGGGGGCTTTGGACATCCACTGCACATGCTCACACACACCACTGGCAAGTGCATAGGGACCTGTGGGGGGCAGTGGGAGGAACCAGCACCACAGTGTAACCACAACAGAGCAGCAGAGGCTGGTAGCTACCTACCTGGTGTGTATGTAGGTAACCTTTGGTTACCTGAGCCAGTATGCCTCTCAGGTTGAAGAGTCAACAACACTTCAGAGGGAGAGTCAACCAAAGGCTTTGGTTGAATCTAAGGCAAGAAGACCACTCCCTTCTGTGAGGGAGGGGGCTAGGGTCACAGCATTGATGGAGATTCTGAGGGGGGCTGGGGATCTCAAGTGCTCCCTGCCACTCTTGGGTGCCCTTGGAAATCTGAGCTTCTGAGGGATAAGTGTCTGGGGATCCTAAAAAGGATGTAACATTTACTTTTAAATTGTTCAAAGGGTGGTGGTGGGTGGGGGGATGTGTATATATGGGGGAAGAGAGGGAGGGAAAGAGAGAATGCACAAATGTGGCTACAAGTTAAAAACTGCTGCATCTAGGTAAAGGTCATATGACTGTCTATTGTGCAATCCTTTCAGATTTCCTTAGGTTTAATATTTTAAGAATGCTGCCGGCAGGGTTATCTCCTTCCCTGCATCCGTAGCTTGTTTTCCACAGCCCTCTGTGGATTTTTCCTAAGCGGTTCTGAGCCCTGTTCTCCCATTCCCTCTTACCCCTTTTGAACAGTTATCCTGACAAGCAGACTCTTTTTCAGTCGGAGGGTTAGCTTTTATGTGTGTTCCTAACTGCACCATGGCTCAAACCTGTCACCAGTAACTTCCTGGAAGGCTTGTTCAGTCTTGAGATCTCTAAGTCCTACAGAGCAAACTTGGACAGCAGTCTATCCCTCAAGGAGTGTGGGTTAAATAAAATTAAGGTGCTTGACATTAGCAGTTTCTAAACTGCTGTAGACTCTGCAGCCAAGTAGCCATCAGGTATCTTGTCTGTCCTTGTCACCAACATATCCCCAGTATTTAGCCCAGGACCTGGCAGATAACATCAGATACTGTTGTTGAGTGCTTTGTAAGAGCCAGCCCTGGGCTGAGTGTTTCCCATGGATGATTTCATTGAATCCACACAACAACCTGATAAGGTGTGGGCTATTATTCTCATTTCATAGATGAGGAAAACTGAAGCTTTGAGAGGTGAACTTCTTGGCCCAAGGTAGCACGTGGTACAGCCAGGATTTAAACTCTGGCAGGCTGACTTGAGCCCACATTTTTAATTACCATTCCCTGGAGAAGGATATTAAGCTTGGTAAAGTGCAGGATTAGCAAGAAAGGGGAAGGCCCTCAACCAGATGGATTGACACAGTGGCTGCAACGATGGGCTCAGGCATAGCAGTGATTGTGAGGCTGGTGCAGGCCTGGGCAGTGTTTCGTTGTGTTGTACACAGGGTCCCTGTGAGTTGGAACTGACTCGACAGCACCTAACGACAACAACAACACATTGTTCACTCAGATACTTGATGGGGGAAATGGATAAATGAATGATTATTCCATCAGTCAAGATCTGAATCCTGATTCTGGCATAAACTTGTTATGGATTGACTTGTGGGCCCAAAAACTTTATGTTGAAGTCCTAACCACTGGTACCTGGGAAGGTGACTTTGGAAATGAAGTCTTTGAAGGTATCACTTATGTTAGCGGGAGATCATACTGGTGTAGAGTGGGTCCTAATCTCATCTGAATGGTGTCCTTATAAAACAGAAGAGACACAGAGAGATAGAGGGAAAATGGCCAGGTTACTAGGAACTTATGCTAGAGCTGCAAGCCAAGCAACGCCTTGGGCTACAAGAAGCTGGAACTTCTTCACCTGAAGCTTTTGGAGAGAACATGGCTCTGCTGACACCCTGAATTTGGACTATCAGCCTCCAGAATTGTGATGCAATACATTTCTGTTGCTTAAAGCTACCCACTTAGTGGTACTTTGCTACGGCAGCCCTAGGAAACTAGTATACCCTCTGGGCCTCCATTTTTACACTTTCAAGTGAGGGGTCTGGGCTGGGATTCTCAGGGTCTGGCAGGGTCCCTGTGTTCCCTAGCCCCAGCCCACTGGGGGAAGCACTACCTGTCCTATGCTGGTGATGGGCCGGATCTTGTCGTGGGCGTTTTCTCTGCAGTGCTCCAGAGCACCGATAAACGTGAACTGCTGCTGCTGGAAAAGCTTGTATGTCTGCTCAATGTTGCGAAGGGATTCTTTCACCTCATTCATTGTCTTCCTTGGAGGTCTTTGATGGAGGGCAGGAATCTCTGCAGACAGAGAGGGAGAGCCATGGGATCCCAGGGGCCAGATGTGCAATCCAGCTCAGGGGTCAGAGAGAAAGATGATGACAGCCCCTCTCTGCAAAGTGCTGTGCTCAGCGTCTCCCCTGCAACCCCGAGAGGCAGGTACTGTTTTCACCCCCATTGTACAGAAAAGGAATTGAAGCGTTGGGAGGCCACATGACTTGCTCAGGATCCCACAGGTTATCCACAACAGAGCTGGGCGGTGACCCCCATCCATGTACCTCCCGAGGACACATTCATGCCATGAAATGTGATTTTCTTTCCTCAGCTATGGACAAAGAGTTTCTCTCTGGGGTCCTCAGTCCCTCCAGATTGTATCTACACACACACACACATACATGCTTACACATATACTCACACAGAGCCTCCAATGCCTCCTTGTGGTGTCAGCAAAATCTAGGATCAAGGAATATGCCACAGGATGAAAACCTGCAGAATAGCAGTTTGGCCCAAATTAGTTGAAAACATCTCTGCCACTCTGCTGTTGGTGGGGAAATCTAGGGATTCTTTTCGGGTGGTCTGAGCAGGCAGAGGGAAGAGTGGGCACTTGATAGTCTTGTTAATTAAGGTTTGCGTTTCTCTGCTCTGTGCTTGAGACAGGGGCACAGATCTCAGGTTTGCAGTGCCCCAGGGCAGGGCTTAGGTTCTGCTGGAGTCACTCGTGGCCTCCCATATTAATTGCAATTAGGGTCTTGATTAGTGTATTAAGGCTGTGTGGTATGCTCTCTGTTCATTCTTTACACATGGTCCCTGGTGTGATTCAGTCTATGAAGTGTCTTGCACCCCCACTGTGAGCAGAGAAGAAAAAGCTGCAGGCTGTGCCCTCCTCAGCATCACACTTGAGTGCATGCAGAATGCTCCAGATCACAGATGCATGGAATGGTAGGTAGAAGGGATCTCTGTAGGTCAACTCCCCTTAACTTCTGGGGGAAAACAGAACTTCCCCAGGGTGTCACAGCAAGTTTGTGCTGGAGACATCCTAGATCCTAGGCTTCCTGATATCTGCCAGCATCCTCATTGCTACTACATCAGGCTGCCCCTCCACCAACAAGAGATCCCAGCACAAAGGGAGTCTTGGTTTGCAATGCTGGCCTATGCCAAGTAAGCAGTCTAAGTGAGATGTGAGAAGAAGGAAGGGGCCAGAATACTTGGCAAGGTCAGGAGTGGGGAAGGACACAGGCCAGGTTTCCAGACAGGTTCCAGGTGGAAAGGATTTTGAACAGCATAGAGCCAGAGTCTTTTCTTTGTGCTGTCTCTCCCTTAGCACCCTGAGCCCTGTGCAGGGCTGAAGCCAGAGTCGGGGGTCTCTGTGGCAAGAGGGATGGTATCAGAAGGATGAAAGGAAAGGCAAGGAGAACAGATCAGAAAATGGCCTCCACAAAATGACGGGAGCAGTAAATCAGAGAACTTGGGGAGGGCTGGGATGAAGCCTTTAATGATTTGGAGGTGAGCCCACAGAGCCATAGTCCTGGGCTGGGAGCCACACTGCAGTAAGGTTGCCATAAAGGAGCCACACCATGAGGGACCCTGACAATCGCACCCATAAACCCTAGTGGGTCTACTATAAATATAATGGGGTTGGCTGCAGCAGCAGCAGCAGCCTGAGGCCACTCTTGGGAGCCATAACGCCTGTGTTTGCCAACAGACGCAGGGCAGCTGCAGCTCCACTGTGGGGCAGGGAGTCCTGGGCGGGGCAGGGCAGTGGCCTCCTTCCAGCTCAACCTCCTCGGCACTCAGCTCCCCACCCAAAGTGGGCAAGCGGGGAAGGCGAACCTGGGCTTTGGTGGAGAGGGTGAGGTAGGGAGCCACTGCCTATGGAGTAGCTGCTGGATCCATGGCTGGGCCCCGCTCTCCATGGGAGCAGAAGGGGCATAGTGATCTGTGGTGCCTCTCATGATGTCAGGCTTACAGGAGTCTGGCTTCCTTCACCGCAAAACTTAAGGCGGCACCAGAGAAACTCCTCAGCAATCAAGACGGTCATATTTTAACACATTATTTTTTAAAAAATAAAGTTAATGCAAAAAAAAAAAAAACAAACCATGAAGAATAAAATAGAATTTTAAGTAAAGACAGGACGGGTTACAGTGCTCTGCTGAGCCATATTGGAGCCTGAGGCAAAGAGAATAATTAGTACTACTGCTCCTATCTGGCTCAAATTTTTGATTGTTTATACTTCATGGTTCTTTTGCATTAATTTTGATTTTTTTTAAATGTTGCATTAAAACATGATTACTTGAGTTTTGTGCCTTCTTAAATCATGCACCCGAGGCACTGCCTCACTCATCTCATTGTAGTGAGTTTACAAATGACTCGAGAGTTGAAGACCTAGAAGAGTCGTAGAAGGGCACACAGGCAGGCTTCCATGGAGGAGTGTGCTTGTGGCATCGTCTTTTCCCCATAATGCTCAGAGCTCTGGAGTCATGCAGTCCTGAGTTTGAATCCTGCTGCCACACCACTTCTTGCTGTGACCTTGGGCAAGCTGCTCCTCCTCTCTGAACCTCAGTGTGCTAACATGCTGTGCCCATACCTGTTGCAGTCTAGTCAATTCTGACCCATAGCGACCCTAAAGGACAGAGTAGAACTACCCTATAGGGTTTCCAAGGCTGTAATCTTTATGGAAGCAGCCTGCCGTATCTTCCTACAGAGCGGCTGGTGGGCTCGAATTATTGACCTTTCAGTTAGCAGCTGAGTGCTTAACCACTACACAGTGAGTTAGTAATAGCATCAGCTCCCCAGCCTTGGAGTGAGCGTTACATGAGATGACAGGTGTTAAGTAAGGAGTGTAGTGGTGAGTCTAGAATGTGGTAGAGCCCTGCAGTTGGAGCAATTAAAGCTACTGTGTCTCGACAGCAAGGAGCTCTGGCTGTGCTGTGGTTAAGGAACTGAGCTGCTAACTGAAGGCTGGAGGTTTGAGTTCACCAACTGCTCTGTGGGAGAAAGATGAGGCAGTCTGCCTCATCTGCTTCTGCCTTAAAGATTTACAACCTTGGAAACCCTATGCATGAGTCAGAATCAACTCCATGGCAGTGGTGGGTGTCTAAACAGTGTGCAGGCAATGATGGGAGGAAAGCCACAATGGTGGTGTGCACCTTGAAAAAGGCGGAGGCTGCTGAGGGCTTGACCTCCTGTGGTGGGGGAGGTTTGAACTGGGGTATGAAAAGATGGTAGGCTTTAGAGGTGGGGAGAGCAGGCAATGGGGGTAGAAGTCTAGGCTTGAGGTTGAGAGGTGAGGTGTGGGACTATCACAAGCAGATGCAGAAGAGGGCAATGGACAATCAAGCTGAGGGGTCCTGAGTGTCAGGCTAAGCCTTTGAGAGAGCCATAGAAAGCTTCTAAGCCAAGGGGGTGAAAAGCACTTCATGCATTCATTCATCTATTCATTCATTCATACTATAGTGCCAACTGTGTGCCAGACACTATCCAGGGACTTGTGGTTAGACAGCACTCAATAGACAAGATTCCCTAACTTGGAGGAACTTATCTTTTAGAATTGGAAGCGGACAAAAAGGATAAGTGGAATATATACCATGTTAGATAAGGGTACCTCTAAGGAGAAAACTGAAGGAGCTCTGGTGGTGTAGTGGGTAAGACATTTGGCTGCTCACCAGAAGGCCAGCAGTTCAAATATACCAGCTGTGCTCTGCAGGAAGAAGATGAGGCAATCTACTTCTGTAAAGATTTACAGCCTTGGAAACCCAATGGGTTGGAATTGACTTCATGGCAGTGGGTTGGGTTTGGTTTGAAGGAGAAAACTAACACATGGAAGTAGGCCAGAATGTCAGGAATGGGGGGAGGGGAAGCTACATTTGCAAAAGGTAGGTTGGGTGCTGTACAGAGTGAAATAGCATCTCATGCACCACCTGTCAAAGAGGTCCTGGACTGATGGAAGGTTGCTTGCCTTGTCTCCTCCTTAATTAACAGCTGGTCATTTGAGTGGAGCACTTACTTGGTGCCCTAGGCAAATCCTGGACATGCATTATCTCAAGTCCTTGCTATAGCCCTATGAACCGAGTACCACTATTTTCCCCACATGGCAGATGAGGAAACTGAAGACATATAGCTAGGAAGTCCATGAGCCAGGATTTTTCATTCAGCTTGGTGCAGTGCCTAAAGGATTTGACTGCTAACCAGAAGAAGGTTGGCACTTCAAACCCACCAGCTACTCTGCAGAAGGAAGATAGAGCAATCTACTTCTGTAAAGATTTACTGCCTCAGAAACCCAGTGGGGGTCGCTTTGAGTCAGAATCGACTTGATGGCAGTGGTTTGGTTGTGGTTTTAGCTTGAATTTATAAAGCCCCGACTCTTAACTTGGACACTTCCATCCTTCTCTGACCATCCTTAGAGACAAACACGTCAGACATCAGATAAAAGCGGCAGGGGCTCTGGTGGCATAGTAGTAAAGCATTCAGCTGTCAACCCAAAGGACAGTGAACCTACCAGCCACTCCTCAGGAGAAAGATGAGGTAGCCTGCTTCAATAAAGATTGACAGCCTTGGAAACCCTATGGGGCAATTCTACTCTGCCCTATAAGGTCATTAGGACTCAGAATCAACTCCATGGCAGTTTTGTTTTTTGCAGGGTGGGGAAGGGAGGAGATACCAAGGGCCTAGAAAGTTACCCAACCCCTCCTAGAGTTCATCTATCAGCTAGAACCCTGGGCTAGACTCTTCCCTGTTCCTCATTCCAAAGCAATGGGGACTAGCATTTAGGGGGCTGCTTGCAACTCTTCTGGGGCTTCATGGCACTGCCAAGTTCTCCAGGGATACAGTCTCAGCTGGTGGCCCCAAAGCCCCTGAGAGCAAAACTGACGTGGTTCTTGATCCTAGCAACTTATGACACGTACGCCAGCAATGTCACGAGAGGAGCTGTAATAAGCTATCCAAAGTGATCGTCCCTTGAATGAAAGTCACTGCAACCAAATTAGT